CACCTCCCAAGGGCTGCCTTGGGCACACCACATGCACACAGTACCTCCAGAGGCAATGTAGAATCCGCTGGGCGCGTACTTGGCCACCACCACTTGATGGGCATGCTCCGTGTAGATGTCAGCAAGGGCTGGGTTCTGCAGGGAGGAGAGCCGAGTGAACATAAGGTACGTAGGAGCAGTCAAACTACTTTCCGCTCTCCCAATGGATGGACTGGGGGGAGGCAGGGCGGGGAATGTCACACCCACAAAGCTTAAGTCAAAAGCATCATAAAGAAAATCCCAGAAGTATACCCACCTGCCTACATACCTGCTACCTTCCCCTCTCTGGATATAGAATTCTAGGTCATTGTAACACTTCTTTTGTCTACGGTTATAGGAGTCAAAGTAATTTTCTCTCCTACGTATTTGTGAAATATACACATGAAATAGAAGTTTCATTAAAAAAATCTGATCCTAATTTTTTTCCTATTTGTGCAAGCTGCAGCTGTATTCTTCAAGTCAGAGCTAGTCTCCCATGCTCATAGCCAGCCCTGTCCCCGCTGCCACACAGAGTAGGGGAACACTGGACCCAAAACAGAGCCTCTGGCTTTGAGGCATGAGAACAGAGTGGGGCACGTAGCTGGGAGCCTCTCGTCAAAACCCTTGAGTGGGAAACTCAGATTTCCACCCCCTTTCATAGCACAGACCAAAGGCTGGCTGGGCTCTGCAGCAGGAACAGGGAGAGCACCTGGGACTGAGAGCATCTTTACTGCTCAACAGTAAAGTCTTAACATATTTCCTGAAAGTAGATGACACATGCACACCCAGGAGGCTGCGGAAAACCTGGAACACGCTGAGATGCTCTCAATCTGTGGCCACAGCCGCGCTTGCTTTCAGGAGGGAATAAAGACTTAGCCATTGAATCCCTGGTACCCGCTGTCAGCTTTCTATGAACCAAGTGCTCTGTGAAAAGAGGCAGCTTCCCACAGACCAGGCTGTGGACACAGGTTCCAGAGGGCTTTCCAGAAGCGGCTGCTGCAGGTGCAACTAACCTGACCCCCAACTGCCCCCCCACCTGGTAGCCTCCCTTCGCCTCATCTCCTTGCAAGATCAAAGTCCTGTACTCTGCTCAGCCTCCAAGCTACAGGATCCCCGCACACCCCACCCCCATCCCACCAGACAGAGGCCGGAGAACACCCTAAATTCTAGTCCTGTCAACCACCAGCCATCTGCCAATCTTGTAAACGCTGTAAGTCTCTGTAAACGCTATTCCCCTGACCAGCAGCACCTCTCCCTGGCTGCTAACATTATGCATCAGAGCTAAGTGAAGAGCCACCTCCTCCATGAAGCCTCCTGACAGCCTGTCCTCAATCCTGTGCTTCTAAAGCTTTCCACACATACCGGAGGCAGCTATGACACACACTATGGTCCCTCACCACCATGTGCATTTATCTCTTTAGCCACCACAGCAGTCGGCAAATGACAGGTGCTCAATAAATGCTTTTTAAAGGTTTCATAGCCCTCTTTCACCCCTAAGACTCAACACTTACTATGTGATGAAGCAGGAACTTAATATATGTGGCCCATAAATTAACTCATGTTGGAATAAACATTTGCTAATGAAATCAGAAGATAGCAGATATCCAAAAAAGATCCTAAGAATGGTGGAAAGCAAATGAAAAGGCACTTGGCCTCACACTAGTCCTCTGGGAAGCGCAAATCGAAACCACAATGAGATACCACTATGTACCTACTGGAACCAATAAAATTAAAAGACCAGCTTCACCAAATGTTACCAAGCATGCGGGGGGCGGGACAGTGGAATGTTCATGTATTTCTGGTGGGAATTTAAAACAGAGAAGAGCTGGGCTGGTTATTTTTAGTTAAACACAGGCTTACCATACAAACCACCAGCCATCTACTCCCAGGCATCTACCCAAGAGAAAGAAACACACACATCCACAAAAAGTCATGGGCATGAACGATCAGAGCCTCATCCATAACAGCCGGAAACTAGAAACCATCTGAAGTCTCCCAACAGGAGGTGGAGAAACAACTGATCCGTGTAGGCAGCCAAGAGGAACAGCCACCAACACTCCCAACAACAGGACAATCCCAAACACACTCACGGCTCCTTTCATAAGGAATTCTAGAAAAGGAGACTGTGGTGACAGGAAGCAGCCTGGTTCTTGCTAGGGGCTGGGGGTGAAGGGAGCCCACTTACTGAAAGGGGGGGGGAAGAGGTTTTGGGGAATGACTGGAATGTCCTATATTATGATTATGGACTATGAAGATGGTCACAGGACTATGCATAGTTGACAAAACTCAAGTTGTACACACTTAAAATGGAGGGATGTTTCTTGCATCTAAATTACCCCTCAATAAAACTAAGATGCCTGGTACCCATTAAATGTCTGCCTATTCCAACCCACCCAGGCCCAGATGAGCCCTCACACTCTCACGCCCTGACACTGACAAGTCCCTACACAAAGAAGCCACAAAGGTGTATGCACAGGCCACCACCACCTTGTTCAGGTGTCCATTCCTAGGCCTACCAAGGTCTTATACCCAAGAAAGCCACCGGAGGGCAACTACCACCCACACCAGCACTCACAGCCTGGTGCCTTGGTCACCTCCCTGCACTGCCTTTTAAAGGGTGGGCTCTGCAGGGGCCTCCCAGGAGGAATGGATGACCCTGGGAAGAGGTTCTGTCCTAAGAATTCCTTCCCCTAAATGGGCAGGGTATCCGTAAGCACAGGGCGTGTGAAACTCGCAAGGTTGTCCCTGCCAGGCTAAGCACCAGAATCCTGGGCTGGAAGAGGCATCACTCTTCCAAATACCACTGGGCCAGGAGTCACCAGGCTGAACATGACTGCCATTCAGCCCAGCCCCCACCCCCCCTTGCTCCACACACAGGGAAGCTGGATACCAAAGGCAGAAATGGCACCCTCCCTGTCCCCAATGTGTCTCGCCACAGATCAGGTTAATTCCGTATCAACGGGGTCCAGATGGCACCAGTACTTGGACCCAGCACCCAGTCCCAAGCCTCCCGGGGGCAGCACCTCTCCCCACCCCTCCTCCGTCTCCTGCTGTCTCTGGGAACAAAAGCAGGATTTGGGGTGAGTAGCTGATTTGGGGGAAGGGCTCTGAACTACAGAAAATGAGTCAGGGATTTAAGAAAGCGAAATCTGGGAGCACCAAGGAGCACTTCTGCTGTAGGGGTGCCCCTCCCCGCTCCTCAGGGGACCTCCAGAACTGCGCTGCAGTGTGTCCACCTGAGGGCTGCAGAGGCTGGGGCCCCCTTCCTCCAGGACTTCCTTCCTGTGCCACTACAGGCAGCAGCAGCTCTCAGTCAAGAGGGCAGACTCCAAACAGGAGAAGCCTTGGCACTAGAGGCCCTGCGGGTGCCCCTGAGATGTGGGCAGAGGCTGACAAAGCCACTAAAACCTCCTGTTGCCTTGCTTGCTTCCCCACACCTGCCCCACTCCCCAGCCCTGCCCAGTCTTCTAACAGCTCCCAAACCCACCTCTTCTTTTCAGCCCGATCAGATTCCATCTAGATCTTTCCATCCCCTCTGGGAACATGATGGTATCTTTTGAACAGATCTCTACTGTAGTCTTTGGGTCCCAACTACAATCACCTCATTCCCTCCTTGGAATCCTTCCTTCAGGAGCTGCAGGGCCTGACCCCATGGCCTCCACTTTTTCCAGATGCTCCGAGGCCCCTTCATGCCCAGGGCCCACCTCAGGGCTGGAACAGGAGCTGCCCTGGCCTCACACCCCATCCCACAAGGTGTCCCCCCCCTGAACTAGGGGCCCAGCTCAGGGCCTGCCTGACGCTCAGTCACTTCCCTAAAAGCCTGGACTAGAGGCACGACAGGAAGACACTGTGTGAGAGCAGTCGTGATGAGTCTCAGGACCATGGGCTGCCCTATCACCCATCTGCAAAAGCAAGGTGAGGGCGCTCCCACTGAGCTGTTGGAGGACAGTTTCAGGGCCCAGCCCTCAGAGCCTGCCCTTGCCTCCCACCTGTGCAGAGGGCCCTCCCAGGAGCAGCACACTGAACAAATTCTGCCACCACCTTTGCAAGCCCCACCCTGCCAGAGGAATGGCAACATGTATCACAGAAGGGAGAGTTACTTACATGTGCTGCATCCCAGGCAGTGTCTACCTGAGCCACCCCTGTGCCCCCAAAGTCCTTTCACATTCCTCAGTCTGGGTGCTGAGGCTGGAATCAGAGGTCACCACAGCATTTTACAGGTCAGATCAAGTGATGGCCCAGGTCACAGGGCATGGCAGCTTTTCCCTCGGCTCCTGGCCCAAGAGAACCCGATGGGCACACCAGGAGGTGGGAAGGCCTATGGGCCATGCGCTGCTGAAGCTGTCTGACATGACACAGCCTACAGCCCAGGAGGGGTGTCTGCACTTCTGCAGCTGCTGAAGGTCCCCCGGATCTGCCAGAGACAGCCGGGAGCCCCCGAGACTGACTAGGCAAGGTGAGCGTGACAGTCCAGGAGGGCTGCATTTCCAGAGCCCTGGCTTTCTAAACATTCCATGCAGCACAGAAGGGAGAATTACTTAAATACATTGCAGTCATTGCTAGCTGGACCCACATGTTAACAATCTGGGCCCTCTGTCCAAGCATGACTAAGGCCAAGTTCAAATTACTGCCAAGTACCTGGCTCTAAAGCAGCCACACACAAACCTTTCTTCCAGACCCCAGGTCTGAACCCAGAGACTAAGCCCCTACATACTACCTCAAAGGACAGCGAGATGCGCCAAGTATGGTCCATTTGTTCCCTAAAGACCTCCTCACACCTAGTCTGGGTTGGCACTGGGGACCTGGTGAGCACTGCCCTGCTCAACCTTCCGGGCTCCCTATCACCCAGAGCAACATAGCCCTAACCTATGATCCAAAGACCATTTCCCATTTCACCCCCTTTCTCCTCCATCAAATCACTGTCATTGTGACATTTTTCCTTTATGTCCTTGGTTTGGAATGCCTTCCCTCCTATCCAATTCCCAATGAGATCTAAATATCTTTTAACACCCAGGCAAAGGCCACCTCCTCCAAGCAGTAATCTCTCCCACCCCTGAAAGCCTTTTCCTTTCTGCCTCCCAGCTCAGCCTCTTCCCAATGAAGCAAACCAAGCCTTAGAACAGGAGCCTGGAGGGCCTCCTGCATGACCCTGGGCATGCCAGTAGCCCACTGGACACAAGACACTGCCACCTCCCTTTCTTCCTTCCGTCTCTCTGCCTGCCCAGGAACTTCTGAGGAGTCACAACTAAAGACTAGGGGTAGCTGCGCTGGTTCAAATCCCAGCATCTCCTGGACTCCAGAGCCCTTGCCTCTAAAAAGACAGTAGTATTAACAGGAAGATTGTGAAGACGAAGGCAGACCATGCACCATCATAGCCCAGGTAACCTTCTAGGGGTGCTTGCTAATTAACTCAGTTACATCGCACACTAACCCTGTGAAAACATCAGTCTCACAGATATGGAAACAGAACTGAATGAGACAAGTGTACTAAGTGCTTGGCCACTGCCGGGCACAAAATGTGCCCATTGAAAAACAGCTCAGATGCCAGAGGTGGTGCTCAAGCCCGTGTGCTGGACTGGTCAGTCAGTGCTCCCAGAGAACAGGGCAGGTCTAGAGTGTGCATGACATTCACATTCAGTCTATGGTGGAGTGACAGCCTTTTCTGGGTAAGGCCCTGGAAAGCAAAGGTAAGCCACAAGCCAGGTGAGCAATGCTCAAAACCCAAGTCTAAGGGCTGCACCACCACAAAGCTGGGAGTGTACACCATTGAGACTTCACAAGTAAAAAGGGCCCTTTCTACTCCACTAGATACCAGTAGCACAAAAATGCCCGCAGACATTGCCAAATATCCATTTTGGGGGCGGGGGGGCAGGGACAGACTGCCTCTGAGAACCACTGATTTCAATCTTGGGCACTGAGGCCATGGGCAGGGGGCTGAATGTATGGGGGAAACATTAGGAATCAAGGACTGGCTGTACCAGCTGACAAGCACTTGCTCAGCGGGTGTGTAATCCGTGAGCAGCTTCCTAACTGGTCACCCTGTTTCAAGTCTCAGATACAGAAGCAGATTGGATAATTGGCTGCATAACTTTTCAGTGGTTCCGGTGCCCTCTGGACCAGTGCTGGGTTCTATAGGAGGGCTGCCTGACACCCACCACCAGAGCCCTGCATAGCTGTCCTGCCTATCCATGTGTTCCCCTCACACCCAGTGCTCCAGCCACAATTCTCTCCAGGCCCCGAACATTCTGAACCTTCTCGCCACCCACACGATTCCGGACTGGCACCACTGACCCTCTGGGTGTCTTCCCTGAGCCTCCAGGTGCTTGGAGCCTCCTGTGGTGAGTGGCCTGTGAAAGGCGCCTCTCCTTCCTCCGTGTCAGTCAGAACTCGAGTTCCTGAGAGTTGGTTTTCCCTACGAGACTGAGCACTGAGGATAGGCTTAGAGCCTTTGTATGGAGTGTTATGTGTGATCTGAAGCTGGGTGGCGAGGCCCTATCAGCCACAGTGTGGGAGAGCAAAGGACCAACTTGGTCTAATGTAACCAGTCCAGTGCAGTGCTGAGAGCAAGCTGGAGGAGCCAGGGTGCAAGCAGGGAGCTCAACCTGGGTTGTTTCTGTTTCTGCAATCCAGGGGACACGACGGTGGCTTGGATGACGGTGGAAGCAGAGAAGTAGTGAAAACTTGTCAGACTCTGAAATTACTTGAATGTAGTGACAATAGGATTCCATGAGGAATTAAACATAGTGTGGAAGGGAAGGGGGTAATCAAGTCTAAGGTTTGAGGCCTGAACAGCTGGAGAACTGCATTGCTGTACTGGGGGAAGGACACGGGGGGAACACAAATGTGGTTCAGGCATGTAAAGGGAGAGATGCCAATCAGACATTCCAGAGTCTGGTCCCCACCTCCCTTTCCCATCTTTTCTCTACACCATGAGCCTGTACTCTTAACTGGCCACCTTCCATCCTGGTCCCTGCATGTGGATGGGGATTCTTTGTCTTTTTCACAGGAGTACTCTGCCCTAATAACAATCGCACCACCTTTACGGGACAGCCAACAGCCCACCAATCAAACAAGAGCCCACATGCCCAATTTACACCCAGAATATGGGCAGGCACAGCAGCATCCCATGCTGTCCCAGCCCTGCAGAAACTTACGGATGGGAAGTGAGAGCAAATGCATCCTCAAGGGAGAATGGTACACTCAGGGGTAGTGGTAAAAGTAAAGACCTTCAGAAGAAAGAGCAGCATGGGTTTCCCAAGTCAGGGGATGCCTCCTGCAATGGGGGTGCTTGTCCATGGCGGTGAACAGCTTCTGCATTGGGACCAGCTCCAGTTTGTGGCCTCCTTCACCTTACTGAGCCAGACGCCGTTTCAGAGCAATGGGCCCTTTGTGGGGTTGAAAGAGGTGCTGCAGTATAGGAACTGTTCACCATACCAGACACAGTGGGTACTTCACGTGAGGTCCGCATCTGGGGGTGAATGCAGAGGCCAAGACACACGCGTGCCCAGTCAGGGGCAAACTCAAGGGGTCCATGGTCTGCATTCCTGAGATGCTTTCATCCACTTTATTTGCCAAACTATGAGTATTTATTTAGGACCATCTCAACTTTTCTCAGAGTTTCAGGCCCTCCCTCTGGAGATCTCTGGATGATTATGATCTAAGCCCTTGGCAATGCTTCCCCCAGTTCTGAGGAGACCAGATCAGCTTTCTAGGAATCTGTGAAACTAGCAGAGTAGCTGTTAGCACCTTCAAAGCATATTCACAACCACCCACCCCCTCTCTTGAGGTGCCCAGTAATCCTGGGCAGAAATTGCCAAAAGGAGCTCCGTTTTGCAGCAGAGAAACAGCAGTGGCCAGCTTCCCCAGAGACGGGCGCAGAGGCAGGAGCACCTCTGACCCCATGGAGACCTTTCCTTTTACAGACAAGAAAGCTGAGGCCCACAGAGCCCTTCATTCCCTTAGCCAGTTGTGAGGTTCTTGATGGCAAGCACATCTGATCAGTGACAATCCCAACCCGTGGAGCATAATCATTCACAACGATGTGAATTTAAGTTGAAACCCCTGGGAAGTATTGCCAAGCAAAATCATCCACCTACATACTGTTTAAAAGGCCCAAGCCCAGCTCAGGAGCACCCCACCCCCACCCCAAATGGTCCTGCTGGCACTTCTAGCTTCCATCCTCCATTGTCATTCAAGCCGAGTCAGGGAGAAGAAGGATTTCAGTGTGCAATCCTGGGTCATTTCAATAATCACAGAGTAGCAGCAGGAATTTGCAAGGACTTCCCCAGGAATCGGCTCTGAAAGCATTCTCAGCCTGGGGACAGGATGCCGGCCTGTGCCAGTGACTCATGGGAATTAACCGCTTTCTGATTTTGCACTGGGGCTCAGGTTCGTAGAGGGAAGATGACGCTGGAATGCAGAGGCCTGGGTCTGAACAGGGGCTCAGCCACACTGGGAGACCCTGGGTGTTAATAATGATTAAACGTAAGTGCCATTTACCAAGTGCTGGGTGTGTGCCAGACATGCTGGGCTGGAGGGAGGCCTCATCTCACTCAGTGGGCAGGGCAGCCAGGGGAAGTGGGGGGAGCCTCATCTCATCATCTCCATTTTACAGATGAGGAAACAGGGGCTGAGAGAGACCCAAGTCACCAACCACCCCAGGGTCAGGCAGCAGACATTCGCCTGTGCGTTCCCCCAAGTCCGGAGCCCTTACACTTATGGACTGAACCAATCTGAGCCTCAGTTTCCCCATGAAAAAAAGAGAACCACGGCTAGATAAACTTGAAGCAGTCTTTCTGAGCTTCTGAGGTGTGGTCCCAAAGCTGAGGGGGCGTGGTGTCTTCTTCCTCCCAGGCCCCTGGGCCGGAGATGAACGGGGAGGAAGGGGAAGCAGAATTCACCCGAGCGCAGCGCTGCGCGGGGGACGCGACCCGCGCCTGGCGGGGGGCAGGGGGTACTCACATCGATGTTCCTTAGGATGACGCATTTTCCATTAGTGTAAAGGAAATTATTGCCCTTGGGGTCGCCGCCGATGATTTTGGAGACGCCCCTCTCCACCTGGGGGAGGCTGGCGAACACCTTCTCTGCGGAGACACAAACGCAGCGGCGCAGGTCAGCGGGGCCCGCCCCGGCCCCCGGCCCGGCCGAGCGCGGAGGGGAGGAGAGCGGGGGCTCAGGG